GGTCTTTAACACTGATCTGGTCCCATAGACAGGAATAAAAGTTAGTCTCGGTAACAGAGACATGTCACATGATCAAGACTTGCGCATGTATCTGTGTCAGTACAGGTGGGAATCAAGCTCTTTGCTGACTGATTTACACAAGAGAACAGTTTCAGCTGTTGTTCACCCTGTGATTAGACAGTAGACAGGACACTCCTCAGAAACACACTCCATCAGCTGTACACTATCTGTAAAATGCAGTAGTTGGTTTGTGCACTGCAGAACAATGTATTAAAATGATGAATGCATTAATTAGCTCATCAGTTTCATGTTGCACATGGGAGCTTGAATCCGTAATAGCACATCATTTGTTTAGCAGAATCGATCTACAGCTGTCAAATACCTGTAGCACAGTAAAAGTATGAAGTAGAGTAGAAGTATAAAATTGTACTTTATTGCCATACGTCAGTGTGAGTGCTAAACGTCTTATTAAAGCATTTCTGTAATGGATCAGATTTGAATGAAACCTGGTTGTGTTGACAAAATGACACCAACTCCTCAGCTGAGTCACATGGTCTCCATCAGCAGCCGCACTTGTTAGGGTCTCTGTGCCATCATTTCCTGTCTGATCGGTGTCACCGGGAAACGTTTGGTCAGATCTGACGCAGCAGTATGTTACTTCCTGTCCTGAGGTAACACATCAGCCCCTGAGTAGTTTCACTGTGACCAGCTGTTGGTGCTGGAGGGACCTGAGCTGGAGGCACATGGAAACCTCCACCAGGTACTTAACATGCACCACTTGTAAGTTGTCATGTAAAGCACTGGTTTGTCTGAACAGGGCGGAACTTTGAGGGAACACAGGAAGCCCGGCACTCGGTTTGTCAGACATTTTGAACACAGAATATGTTTTTAAAGTTTGTAGATACCGGGAGGAGGCCCCGGGGAAGACCCAGGACACGCTGGAGGGACTATGTCTCTCGGCTGGCCTGGGAACGCCTCGCCCGGGGAAGACCCAGGACACGATGGAGGAACTATGTCTCTCAGCTGGCCTGGGAACGCCTCGTCATTCCCCCGGAGGAGCTGGAGGAAGTGTCTGGAGAGAGGGAAGTCTGGACATCTTTGCTTAGACTGCTGCCCCCGCGACCCGGTCCCGGATAAGCAGAAGAAAATGGATGGATGGATGTAGATAAATTATGAAAAACTCATTTGTGTGCTCAGTAAATGTATTGGCATGTCTGTACTGTGCAGTTATTCTCCAGTGCTCAGTGCCTGTCAGAAAACATTTGTACTCAGTCATGTTAAATTTAGTCTTTGCATGAAAATCATCTCTACAAAATACACCTGATGTAGTTTAAAAAAATACAAATGTACCATTTCCTGAGCAGAACATCCAGTTCTGCAGAGGACTGACAGATCTTCCTGCTGCCACCAGGGGTCACTGCTGCCCTGAGAACAATAGGTGTGTCAGCTTCTCTCATGCATCATGTTGCACGTCTCTGTCTCTGAGGGGAAAAACTAGCAAAATGTCTGTGGGAATCGGCAACCAGCTCTGAGGCGTGTCCAGGTGAGTCACACCTGCACAATCAGACAGTCACTCTGGGTCCCTGATCAGGGTCTTGTCAGGACTCTGAGCCAGGCCTGACCCGCACATGAACGACCTGATTGTACATCAGTAATGTTGATTAAAACCAGGAACTCTGCTGAACACAGCCAGCTCATGGTTACTTCAAACAACCTTTTAATTCCACTTTGTTTCAGTAAAAGTTAAATATGTTTAAATGTTATGGACCTCACAGATGGATGAGAGCGTTTCAGGTTCTGCATCAGTTTAATTGGTCAAACATGAGTTCACGTGGTTACATACAGAACAGACATGAAGAGCAGCATGAGACGCTGCTGCCCGTCGGACTGTCACGTCAGCTTGTCTTGCACAGACCTCAGAGCAGCGCTGACAGTTTCACAGGCTGCAGCTTCACAAACACCTTCGTCTCTCTGACAGCACACAAAGAAAGAGCAAGTACCTGATATGAAACGTGTCAGAGGATCAGTAAGTGAACAGGCTGTTTTTGTTCCAGCTTCTCAGACATGATGTCCCTGTTTGTCCACGACATGACAACTGAATCTGTTCAGAGGAAACTGGGACCTGAGAGTGAAACCTGCAGATGAACCTAGTCGGTGAGTTTTACTTGACATAAATGGGAGCCCGTGTTTATTGTGACCCTCCCACCTCCATGTCAGCAGCTGGATGGTCGTCATCCATGGATGAGAGTTTCTCCCTGAGGAGCAGTCGACAGATTTTAATGCTGTATCAACCCTGAAGTGCTTTTCTCTTTCTGCAGAGGTTCCTGACTCCACCTTGTGTGTTGTCACAGTGGTGAATATTTTACTTCATGTTTTATTCAGCAGCAGTTTACTAAACACTGTTGCCAAGCAGGTAAAGAGATTTCTCCACTTAGTCTGCTGAGCTGTTTACGCAGCTGTAGGAAGTTACTCAGCCCTTCTACTAAATTCTAGCCATTTAAAACAGTCTGGTAGAAATGAATTGCTTGTTACAGATCCTCACCGAGTCATATATATGTGAACTCGATGTTAAAGGAACACGTTACACATTGGTCCAAAGGTGTGATAATAAGGTTAAATGTCATGCTGAGTGAATACATGGTGCTGTTTCTCTTTGTTTGACTAAATGTTTGAGCAGGAGCAGAGAACCTGCAGCAGCTCTGGACCAGAGGATTCACCTGAGCAACAGGAAGCAGGTGAGAAGACGCACACAATGAGAGACTGAAATCAACACAGCAGCATCAGTCGCTGTTCACCTGAGAGCAGCTACGCTCAGTCAGCCAATCGAAGAGCAGCAGGTCACACCTGCAGGTAGACTAACAGGTGAGTTTTGAGCCAGACACTAGGAGAGTTCAGGTCTGTGGTCGTCTGTGGCGACGTTCTATGGCTTTAAAGGTTTAACTGGGCCGGGAGTCTGCGGATCAGAAGCAGCTTGAATCTGTGGAGTCGGCAGTCAGAACGTCCTCCTCCCCTTCATCATCACCAAAGTGTGAGCTCGTTGTTGATGCTGTTATAGGACGTACTGGTCAGTACCGACACTCAGTGACTGTTTTACAGTACAATGTCATGATTGGTGGGTTATGATCATCTGCAGCTACTGTGTTAATTGATTGATCACTCACAGGGTTTTTGAGGAGACCATGAAGACACCTTAGCACAGTATGAAACTGGAGGACACTTAGCCACATCCTCTGGTTTCATACTGTGCTAGGTAACGGCGGCGGCATTAGGACTGTGCATCAGACTAAACGAGACAACTTCCACCAAATTATTGAGAAAATAATCAGAAGATTAATCAATAACAAAAGTGACTGTTAGTTGCAGCCTTGTCATGATGTTTGTGTTCTGAGAAAAACTGAAGCATCTACATCATCATTAACATGTTCAAGGTGTTTGTCCAGCTGTATCTCTGGTTTTTAATCTGGGGCCCAAACTGGAACTTGCCACACTGTTTCTGTCTGGTCAGAGGAGAGTGGCCAAGGCTGGATGATTCAGTGTACGCCAGGCGCGTCGACACTGTGACATCACTGCCGGAGGTGCTCACGGGTGCCATAAAAGTCCTGTCCAACAGTCTCGTGTCTGTGTGTCTGAAGTGTTTTTGGACACCTCTCACAGGAAGATAAAGGGCTGTGCCGTTACACTGGTTCTTTGGTGTCAAACCAAACTGTCCCTCATCCAGCGCCATGGGGACACAGCTTTCAAGTAAACCATCAGACGTCGTCCACATCAAAGGCCCTCGTCAGCAGGTCCAGGTCCCCGACGGTGGCGGCCTGGAAGAGCTCGGGCCGGTCCATCATGGAGATGGCGACACGCAGGGCTGTCCAGATGTTGGCTGACATCTGTTGGTGGCTGCAGTGCTGACTCCGCCTCTGCTGGTTCAAAGCCGTCAGGAAGTTGGTGACTGCCTCCCTGCAGGACCAGGACCAGTTCAGACCATTAAGATAAGATCTGCTGTAGGGATGATGTCAGACCTAACTGGACTCTGTAATATTCTTTTCTAATTCACAGGAGAAGTTTAGGATCTCTTAACACTGATGTGCCCTGTGAAGACCGATGCTGGTTCCTGCTCTCCAGCCTGAGGCTCAGACCCAGACCACGACCACACTGTAGGAAATGGCACCATGCTATGGAAGTAAATGCTGACCAAAATCTGTGAGGGTGCACTAACCACACTTCAAGTGCTACTCAGTTTGCAACTCAGCATTTGAGAGCGCAGAAACAGTTTTGAGAGTGAGGGAGGACAGAAGCAGCAAGAATCCTCCTCTGCTCTTACCAATCCTGTGCACTCTCAAATGCTGAGCTGCAAACTGAGTAGCGCTCGAAATGTGGTTAGTGCACCCTCTGGTGTTATGGTGGGGATCTGCTTCCACAGGATGCAGTGCAGAGTTGGTCTGAGGCTTGGGAAGCTTCAGTGTGACTAAGGCAGGTAAAGCTGGTGTCAGTGAAAGTTACCACCTGTTATTTCCTCAGGTGTTAGCTGTGTCTCATGTCTGTGTGGGGCGCAGGAGAGACGGGGTTCTGTGTTACCTGTGAGCTCCCAGGTTGATGTAGCTGATGCCCAGGTTGTATCTGGAGCGGATGAACCCAGGCTGCAGCTCCAGAGCTTTGGTGTATGCCTCCACTGCCTCCGCGCTGCGGTTTCCATTGGCCAACGTGGCTCCAAGACGGTTCCACAGCAGGTAGTCCTGGACCCAGGGGGACAGGAAGTTAGTGTTGAACTTGCTGTCAGGACATGATCCATCTGCAGCCAGGTGACCACACTGAACTGACACCTTCTCCAACTCTGTTTCAGTTACTCTCTCTATCTCTTACACTGTGTCTACAGCAACGTGCTTCTCATGCCACTGATACACTACTATGTTAGTCAATCCAGCTGCCGCCTGTCACTCACACTTTACACACACAGAACATGAGTGATGTGGGAGCTGATACAGTGTAGACAGCTGGACTGACAAACAGATTAACACACTTTTGGTGTGGACACAGTAACCCTCACTCTTTCAGACCATTAGTCTCCGATTTCAGGAAGCACACTGCATTCACCAAAGGAAATAAAAACTGGAGGATCTCATGAGCCAGGGCTGGAGAGCCGCAGGGCTCGTCTGAAAGTCCCAAGGAGCTCTGCAGCGCTCCGACCCTGGCAATGTTACGGGATAAGATCCTCTGGTTGCTTTTCCTTCGGTGTGCTTCTGTGCTGACTGTCTCTCTGCCTACAGTAACCTGGCTGTCACCTGTGGTGTGACGGAGAGTGCTGCAGTAAAAGCCTCCACTGCTTTGTTGAAGTCGGAGCTGAGATTGAAGAGGACCCCGAGTCCAGTCTGCAGGTCTGGATCCACACAGTCTAGATTCAGCAGAGCCGCCTCCTGGTAGAGCAGCAGCACTTCCTGCAGTTCCGACCTGCAACACACACGAGAGATGCTGAGCTGTGCCACAGTCAATGTGTCCATCTGCTGAACTGTCCTTTTTTCAAACACACACAGTCCACTTCAACTTTAGACATTAACTACAAGTCCCAGAATGCCTTGCTTTTAGTGTCATCCAGTCAGAGCTTCAGACTGTGCTGAGGAAAGTTAGAGGTTTTACTGTCTGAAGAAATGTAAAGTATGACAACTCTGGCAGAATCATCGCCATAGCAACAGCAGCTGAGGCTCATGGGTGCTGTAGTATTTCAACCGCACTGTAACCTACAGGACCCCTCATATTTGTACCTGGCCGGTGTGCAGGTGTAGGGACCCCTGCGTGGCGTGGCCGGGGAGCCCTGTAGTGGACTCCTGTGGTCCAGGACCAGGTGCTGGTATCGGGGGTTGTGGCTGATCCAGCAGTGCAGGGCGTCACACGCCTCCCACTGCATGCCGCTGTTGGTGAAGCTGACTGCGAGCGCCATGAGGGCCGGCAGGTTGTTGTGGTGGAGCTCCAGACACCTGCAGCAGATGAGACAGGTGAGACTTGAGCTCAGGACATCAGGATGATGAAGTGTGCGTACAGTTGTTCAGTTTTACAGGTGAACTCACTCCTGTGCCCTAACGAGTAAAATGCTACATGTCGTCTTACATCAGTGAATTAACCTGCTGGTGACTACAGTTACACAGCCTCTTCTGTTGATACAGATGAACCCCAGTGTGGACACAGCGGGACAACTGACCTCTGCAGGGATACGATGGCGGCCGGCTCATTCTCATTTTCAGCCTGAGTCATCCCCAGAACTTGCCAGGCCTGAAAACACACAAAGAAGAGTTGGTTTCAAACACATGGCTGCTGCCTCAGTCAGTCTGAAGCAACACCATGGCATCATTAGCTGTCTGCTTGCAAACCGGAAGACGTCCGTTTCCCAAACTCTACAGTGCCTTGCGAAAGTATTCGGCCCCCTTGACCTTTGCGACCTTTTGCCACATTTCAGGCTTCAAACATAAAGATATAAAACTGTAATTTTTTGTGAAGAATCAACAACAAGTGGGACACAATCATGAAGTGGAACGAAATTTATTGGATATTTCAAACTTTTCTAACAAATAAAAAACTGAAAAATTGGGCGTGCAAAATTATTCAGCCCCCTTAAGTTAATACTTTGTAGCGCCACCTTTTGCTGCGATTACAGCTGTAAGTCACTTGGGGTATGTCTCTATCAGTTTTGCACATCAAGAGACTGAAATTTTTGCCCATTCCGCCTTGCAAAACAGCTCGAGCTCAGTGAGGTTGGATAGAGAGCGTTTGTGAACAGCAGTTTTCAGTTCTTCCCACAGATTCTCGATTGGATTCAGGTCTGGACTTTGACTTGGCCATTCTAACACCTGGATATGTTTATTTGTGAACCATTCCATTGTAGATTTTGCTTTATGTTTTGGATCATTGTCTTGTTGGAAGACAAATCTCCATCCCAGTCTCAGGTCTTCTGCAGACTCCATCAGGTTTCCTTCCAAAATGGTCCTGTATTTGGCTCCATCCATCTTCCCATCAATTTTAACCATCTTCCCTGCCCCTGCTGAAGAAAAGCAGGCCCAAACCATGATGCTGCCACCACCATGTTTGACAGTGGGGATGGTGTGTTCAAGGTGATGAGCTGTGTTGCTTTTACGCCAAACATAACGTTTTGCATTGTTGCCAAAAAGTTCGATTTTGGTTTCATCTGACCAGAGCACCTTCTTCCACATGTTTGGTGCGTCTCCCAGGTGGCTTGTGGCAAACTTTAAACGACACTTTTTATGGATATCTTTAAGAAATGGCTTTCTTCTTGCCACTCTTCCATAAAGGCCAGATTTGTGCAGTATACGACTGATTGTTGTCCTATGGACAGAGTCTCCCACCTCAGCTGTAGATCTCTGCAGTTCATCCAGAGTGATCATGGGCCTCTTGGCTGCATCTCTGATCAGTCTTCTCCTTGTATGAGCTGAAAGTTTAGAGGGACGGCCAGGTCTTGGTAGATTTGCAGTGGTCTGATACTCCTTCCATTTCAATATTATCACTTGCACAGTGCTCCTTGGGATGTTTAAAGCTTGGGAAATCTTTTTGTATCCAAATCCGGCTTTAAACTTCTCCACAACAGTATCTCGGACCTGCCTGGTGTGTTCCTTGTTCTTCATGATGCTCTCTGCGCTTTAAACGGACCTCTGAGACTATCACAGTGCAGGTGCATTTATACGGAGACTTGATTCCACACAGGTGGATTCTATTTATCATCCTTTGTCATTTAGGTCAACATTGGATCATTCAGAGATCCTCACTGAACTTCTGGAGAGAGTTTGCTGCACTGAAAGTAAAGGGGCTGAATAATTTTTCACGCCCAATTTTTCAGTTTTTTATTTGTTAAAAAAGTTTGACATATCCAATAAATTTCGTTCCACTTCATGATTGTGTCCCACTTGTTGTTGATTCTTCACAAAAAATTACAGTTTTATATCTTTATGTTTGAAGCCTGAAATGTGGCAAAAGGTCGCAAAGTTCAAGGGGGCCGAATACTTTCGCAAGGCACTGTAAGTGAAACCAGAGAATGTTCACACGTGAGACTGTCTCATAAAACAGCTTTTAAACAAGCTGAGGCTCATTAATGGTCAACACCTAGTTTAGTAATTCTTTATAGGCCAGTAAGAGGTGATAATATCTGGGTGGCTGTCTCCAGTGCAGATGTGAGGTCTCCAGCAGACTCTTGTGGAGAACATCTGTAGCACATCTGGACCAAACTCCATCAGTAAACTGATTCAGATGTAAAACTGTAAACTTCTTATGGTTTAACCATGAATCAGTAAAGATTCAGTTGCAGCTAGCTAGCTGGCAGGTTAGCTGGTCATCACAAAAACACTGGAGCTAATTTCTAAGTTGGATTTATTTGGACTGACCACATACTCAAACACTAGATGATTATTTCCTTGCTTGAAAAACTATCACAACTTAATAAAGTGGCATAATAAGAGTCCCAGGATGAACATGCTAACAGCTCTGAGTCTGCCCTGCCACCGTAGTGTTGTGTATGTCATCCAGGTACTACTCGCATACATATTTGACCATACTAGAATCCGGAAATACTACACACACATCTTGGCCTTCTACATAACGGGCAATTTCGGATACACTCATTGTGAACTATCACATAAAGCCATTCATTACAGTCTTGTCAGAAAGCTAAACCAGACCCTGGACAAGATGCTTGAGCAGAAGCAGGTTCAGTCTGGTCTCACCTCAGAGTCCTGCGGGTCCTGTAGGATGGCGGCCTCCAGCAGCAGCACGGCGGTGTTCAGGTCTCCTTCTCGGGCTTTCTCCCGACCCTGAGCGAAGGTGCTGGGCCAGTCTCTGTACGGGTTGTTGGGATGGAAGTGGTAACCCTGAAGGAGACAGACACCAGGTCACCTGCGGGAGTCACCGGATCATTACCAGAGGGAAACAAGGATCAGTAACTCGGTTATGTGACAGCGTGGTGCTGATCTGGATCTGGTCAACATGTGTGAGCAGGTGTTTGATGGCGTGTTGACAGAGCGGAGCGGGGGTTACTGCAGAATTACTGATGGAGGCGCTTGGCGCTGAGCTCGGGCCAGGGGATTAAAGCGGCAGATTAATGCTGGCCAGCATCCTTCTCATTAATAATCTGTCATCAGCATTAATAACTCCCTGTGGTCGTGGGGACACGCTCACCTTCTCCACAGGTGAGAAGCAGGGCGGGATCGGCTGCGGAGCCTCTGAGTCCTCCAGCCAGTTCGTCCGAGCCAGTTCCTCCCACTCTGCCTGCATCTTGTCCCAGAACTCTGTGTCCGACTGCAACACAGGAGCAAGAAGCAAATGTCATCCCAGAGCTGATTCCAACTCAACAAAAAACAACTTGTCCCAGAAGTCCGTGTCCGACTGTAACAACAGCCCACACATCTTTTCAAACCCGTTCGAGTCAACCTGGTTTTTACAGTCCTGGGTTGACATAGTCAGCTTCTCTCCTTTTCCTGCATAAAGCCTTTTGACCTGCCTCTGTGCATGATGTGCTGTAGACATGAAGCTGCCTTGCCTTCAGCTTCTATGGCCATGGGCTTCCTGCAGCTTTGACTCTCACCAGCAAAGCAGATATGTTCTGGGACAGCTGTTTGGTTTGGTTGTGGTGCTGGAAGCAGGAGAGTTCCATATACATCACAAAGTGAATGTGACACACATGAACTTCCCTGTCACTGCAGGAGCTGAGCAGCTGTAGGATGAAGCCTGGATCAAGACTCCATGTCGGAGTCTGTTGCCGCCTCTAAACTCCCCGGCTCTCAGCTCCTGTTCCTAAGTGTCTCCTGTTGTGTCTGTTGGACCAGCGGCTGTCAGAGCCAGTTGGCTTCAGACAGGAAACAAAGCAGCAGACACAGCCAGTCTGAGCATCAACGTATGGAAAAGTACTGCAGGGGATACACTGTGGTTAGTGAAGCAGCATTAAAGGCCTTAATATGAATTTTAAAATGTAAACACTCAACAAGACTGCAGCTAACAAGTATTTTTACATGCCAATTATTTTGATCAGCTGTTTGACGTTTGAAACAGCTATGAATCAGAAATTTACAGGGTTCCAGTTGACATCTTTGAGTGTCCGACCTAAAGCCCAAAGGCCAAACAGCCTAACTGTAAAGTTAGGTCAAGGGAGCATCAAATACTCATATTTAAAGGTGCAGTATGTGAGGTCCATTGACATCTGGTGGTGAGGTTGCAGATTGCAGCATTCAGCAAAGCTCTCATTCATCGTGTTCAACAGCCTTCAGCCATTTCACAGCGATTACTGTAAATGTAAGACAAACTGCACACTCGGAAAACAAGCACGGCTGCCTTGGGCGCAGACGACTTAATACACACACATTAAGATGTGCAATCGACGGCTCACTTCACCGCAGTTGACCTTAAAACATTCCATTTCTTTTTGGCTTTGCTTGTTTCATGATGGGGATTCACCCAGTCTTCCTTTTTCTTGTGTTGAGGGGGCGACAGTGGTGTGGTGGGCAGAGCAGCTGTCTCGCAACCGGAAAGTTGACGGTTCGAATCTTGGTGCCTGCAGTCCACATGTCGAAGTAACAGCCTCATCTAAGCTAAAGAAAATGCAACCATTCTTATTTTCTGGTGATTACACATTAACAAAGATATAATTATGCATACTGACGCCGTTTCTGCTAAGAAACACTTCCAGATCTTACACATGGCACCTTTAAGTTGAAGGCATTGAATGTTTATTTTTGCTCAATTAAAGGGTCAAATTCCCTGTCGGTCTGTAATTTTCTGCCCACTGACTAATCGCTGCAGCTGTAAAGTCCAGTTACCTTCACTCCGATCCAGTTCTCTGTCGGGCAAATCAAACCTTGACAAAGTCAGACACTGCAGATGTGTCAGGCCTGGTGTGTGAATGTTGACCGTGCTGATCTCTGTGTATCTCTGAGGATTAAAACACCTGCAGCTAAATTCAGAAACTGTCTGCGGTGATGAGGAAGAGCTTTTCATCAGAAGAGACGCGGTGATCGGTTCACTGAGCTAAAAGGACTAAAGTCATCAACATGAGAGCATCAGATTAAACATCTGACAGAGAACACCTGCACTTTAATCACCGAGCTCTCAGCTACTGCAGACTGCACCATCATCCAGCCTCCTAAGATGAACCACTTGGAACCAAACCACCACATCGTCCACAGTCAAACTCAACAGAACTGTCCCGAAAAACAAAGATCAGTGTTGTTACTGAACAGAACCACTAAAGGATCAGATTAATATTTAGGTAAACCCTCTTCTCCTCAGAGCTAGCCTGGCTCTGTCATGTTTATATCAAATGGTTTCCAGACAGGAAGCGGCTTCAGTAACTCCTGGAGTCTTTCTGCACATTCACCCCATGTTCTTTTACATATATCATTTAAATAAAATACAGACAAAATCAAACTGCAGAGCTGTAGGACAGACCAGATATGAAGTGAAGAAGTCAGCTGGAGGCTGATCTAAGCACAGTGCAGTCTGAGCGTCTGCTGAATCACCCAATTCTCTGAGCAGATGGCAGGAAGTACAGTCAGAAACCTGAGCAGCAGCATATTGATGGTATCAGTTTCTGAAGATCAGCTGATATCTGACACTTAACACATCAAGCCGCTGCAGTTTTAAAGGGCAGGCGACGGGATTCTGGTTTCCTTACTGTCATCAGATCACATGAAGACCAGGAAAAGGAGATGACACGTTTTGAAGACAAGAACGTTTTCTGGAGGATGCGGACTTTAGAAAAGCAGAGACATTTCCTGAAACTAGGAGCTCGGACTTGCTGTGAAAAGTGTAGTGGAGTTAAAGCTAGACAGGGACAAACACTGGATGTAGAACTTTGGTGCAAAGTGAGGATGTTTTTGGATAGTGAGCATTTTTTGGAAAAGGAGAATAATGAGGACAGTTCATCTGTGTGTGTGTGTGTGTGTGTGTGTGTGTGTGTGTGTGTGTGTGTGTGTGTGCGCGCGCGCGCGCGCCCCTCGACAGCAGCCTTTGCTCTGACAAACTCGTCCTCCAGAGACTCCTTTCTGGCCAACAGGGACCGAGTGCGCCTGCGCAGTCTGGACGCGCCAGAGACCTAAACACACACACACACACACACACACACACACACACACACACACACAGACAGACAGACAGGTCAGCCAGCAGCTGCCAGTGTGACAGCCAGGACAAACCAACAGATGCCCAACTAACCACCGCTGTGCAACAGAGGGAGTGGTCCGTTATCCCAGGCTCCCTGAACTACACGCTGTTTACACTATGTTTAGCTTCAGTTTTGGCTGTTTGTGTATCACTGTCTGTCACTATAGCAACAAATGAGGTTTCCAGGTACTTAGGCAGGCAGCAGTACTACAGTGTGAGTACAGTCAGCAGTAATGTAGAGCGAGGCGGCAGCTGACCTGTGCTGACGATATGAAGTCGAGGTCGTTGAAGCTGTGCATGGTGAACAGTGAGTTCTTTCTCAATGGGTCTGTTTTAAACTCTGCAGACCTGAAGGAACAAAATACAAAGTTAGCATTCATTACAGCCACAGTCTGAACAGCAGCGGAGCTACATGCACAGACTCTGGGGACACTTCACGATCAGGAGTCGTCTGGTGACTCTCCGTCATCATCCCTCTCAGAGCTGGAGGGGCAATTTCTCCCTTCCTGCTTGTTTGCACCACAGCAGAGAAGCTGGTCACTGCTGATCCTGGTTTAAAGTGATGAAGCAGACTGGATATTTACCAGAGCAGCTCACTGGAGGAGTGGTGGGAGGTGCATCTCTTCTCGTCCCTCCGGTTAGGGTTAGGGTTAGGGCCCCTGCGTCCCCTGTCCTCCACGTCCAGGTTCAGCTCTTCCCATTTATCCAGAGGAGATGACAGACTGACTGTGAGCGGGACATGATGCCTCTCACCTGATCAGAGACACAACATCCTGAACACACATCTTCAATACTGACGACAACTGTTCTCAGCTCAACACTTACACATGCTGCCAACTAGAGTAAAAGAGTCGCGTTTGTGACGGGACAGCAAACATAACAGGAGCTGATCGGGGGCGTTCCAGACAGCCGGTTCAACAAACACCAAACTGACCTCTGAGTCGACCGACCCTGAAAGGGGAGACCGAGTTTTCAGGTCCAGAGCAGCTGATCACAGGTAGTTGAACCAAGTCTGAGGTGATCTTGAAAGCCATCATCAATGGAGCTCCGACACAGTGATTAACCATGGTAACGGGTAAACAAAGGCCAGAGCTGCCATTTTAATCCAGTGGAGCTACACATCATGTGACGTTTATCTTTACAAACAGCAGCAGTGAAACAGCCAGAGCTGCAGAGACGTTCAATAAGTGAAGGTCCAGTAATGGACGTAAAGTGCAGAAGTCCTACCGTTCCATTCATTTGTTAAGCTGATGTGGACAAGCTGCTGCTGGCAGCAGGAGATGGAATCAGACAGACAGGAGAAAGTCTGTTTACAGACCTGAGACTGTAGCCTCAGGCTGGCCCCATAAGAATGAGCCTGTGGTGTGCAGATGGAAAAGCTGTTCATTATTCATAAACCACACCAGGTTTCTAGTGTTCAGGTCTTTGTACTACAGTCAGAAACATTAGTCTGCCCTCCAGAGGGAGAACGTTCACAGTGCGACCTGAACCGATAACTCTTCACAGATCAGCAAAGCTTCACTGGGGTTTCTTTCATTTATTACTAGGTACAGTGACCACAGTGATGTACAGTGGGTGTGTCAGTGCAGGGGATCAGGCCATCTTCATGTGCACTCAGTCACAAACAGCCTGCGGACATTTTACTCTGAGCTGAGGGTGAATCCTCGCCGTCTAATGGGCTGCTGGTGTTTAAACGTGAGCTCGCTGTCTTTACACTGATGATTATAAAAGTGAGCACCTCAGTAAAGTCAGGTCTTGGGTAACAAACTATCGGGCTACGCTCTAATCAAGATTCTTATTCTCTTCTGAAAATTGTAATAAGCTCCGAGTAAGTTACCACGGTAACTGACCGTGGTCCCTCATTTCACCTCAAGCTCCGGGTTTTCCCTTAACCTCCTTTCTGGAACAGCCCCAGAACACAGAGATATGAACAGTTTTGCTTCTAACGCAGGGACATAAACACAAAGGCTGTTTCTAGCAGAGGCCTGGCTGGGTCTGCAGGCGGCGTACATCAGGGCTCACGCCGCTGGTGGACTGCCCTTAGCCTCCCGCTGCTGCACTCTGTGTTGAAATTAGAAACTAAGTTCTTGGTGCATTGTTGTGCATATCTTAGCTTGTCTGTTTACAGTAACCTAACCATAGCCTGCCTGTGCTCCACTCTACCCATGTTAAAACCAAACTTACACCTTCTGCCTAAACGGAAAGTGAAAACAAACTCAGCTGAAAAACCTGAGGCTAAAGCATGATGCTGCGAACTGTGATAGGGAGGAACTTTACTGTTCACATTAGGGTTCGCCCCAGATACGTTTGTTTGACCTTGTGGTTCCTTCACATCCCATCAGTGGTTTCATTACTGACAGAAATGACGGACAGAACTACCAAAATAAGAGTGGAGCTGGAATCAGCCTGTGCTTTTATTTAATGACAAACGTTCATAAGTTCTGAGTTCATGTCAGGTTGTTTTATGGTTGTTAAAGCCTCATCCTCTAAGCAAAGTCTCACTAAACCAAAGACATGAACTCTGATCAAACAGCTCGAGTGTGAAACAGGAAGCAAAACTCATCAGACTAAAAGCTGCGATTAGTGTTGGGATCGACTGGTTTTAACTCCCAGCTTTTAACTAAATGAGCACCAGTGGGAGGAGGAGCAGAGACTGTGGTCCGGTCCTGGGTCCATGTCTGTGACTGCAACGTCCTGCTTCCACAGTCACCGCCCGTCGGCGGCTGCAGTGACCAGTGGTCTGTGTTACCTGAGTCCAGTGAGATCCGCTCAGGTGTTCTGGGACTGGCAGGCAGCTGCTCCGCCTCCACCTGGATCAGCTCCGTCTCCTCAGGCCTTGCTCGGTGTCGAGGGCTCCTCGAGCTGCCCTTCTTCCTCAGAGGGCTCCTCCTCCTGCGGCCCTCATTGCTGCCGCTCCGCCCCGGCTCGCTGAGGTCCACCAGGTCCACAGCTGTGGACAGGACTGCAGGGCGGGAGCACAGAGGGTTACTATCCGATGACGGTCACAGAAACACGGTGACAGCTGGGTGTGTCTGTGCTCAGTGTTTCCTGACAGCAGTTCCAGTCCTCAGAATACCTGGACTCATTAAGCTCAGGTGCCAGCAAATCTTTGTATGACAGCTGTAGAAAACCTGCAGGCAGTGGCGGCGGCGGCGGCTTCTCGTCCAGTTATTTACAGCTGTGATGAAAGTTAACATTACATCTTATTTTTTGCTCAAATTTTACTGGGACTTTCTAGTGACTGGGCCACGCACCGCTGTTATGGAAAAGAGCCAGTTACTGGCTCTACGTGTCTTTACATTCTCCGTTTACTCCATTACCTGGGTCATTTTTACTTTATGATCTCAAGTCTAAGCCTTTCACTGCACATGTGTAAATTATATTAAATGAATTTTATCCAAGGCATCAGATGACCTGCCATTCCCACTGATGTCTGCATTAGAGCAGTATAATCAATAAGCTGTAAAGCACGTGGTGACATGCTCATTCTGATACCCAGTAACCTATCGGTGTGACCTCTGGTGTCACCATAAAACAGGAAACCTGATCCCACTTTGTCCCGGAGCAGGTGAAGCTTCAGCTGCTGCCTGAGCTTCAGTCCATATTTATGACAGAGAAATAAACAAACGGAGCACAGTGAGTTTCTAATGAATGTGAAGAGGAGGTCGGAGTCGACAGGAGGACAGAGGAGGTCAGAGGTGTTAAAGGCTGGTGTGCCTGCTGAGTGGGGGCTGACAGATGGGCACAGAGGGGGAGGAGGGGAGGACAGCCAAGGACAGAGTCGGAGGCAGGAGAGCAAAGATTTAGGAGGAAACAGAGAAGAGACGAGGTCAGAGAAGGCACAGGAAGTGAAAAAGTTAGAAGAGGACAGGGGGATGGATGCAGAAGTGGCAGCAGGGAGGGGCGGGAGCTGCCACCGCCGAGTTTTAACTCCACATCGTGCTGGTTTATCTCAGTGGCTCCACACGAAACTGTGAACAGCGAACAGCAGGGGACAGGAAACGAGATGCAAAAAAGTTAGAAGAGGAAAGGGGGATGGATGCAGAAGTGGCAGCGGGGGGGGGCGGGAGCTGCCACCGCCGAGTTTTAACTCCACATCGTGCTGGTTTATCTCAGTGGCTCCACACGAAACTGTGAACAGCGAACAGCAGGGGACAGGAAACGAGATGCAGCACAGGATCTGGACCTGGTTCTAGATCTGTACCTTCAAACCACAGGACGCACACTAAATGTGCAATGCTTTCTGAAAGTACACAGAAACCTCAGTATGTGACAAGTCCCTTTCTCAGCTCTGCCACTTAGAGTAGTAACACATTAGCCAGACGGGCAGCTGGCCGTGGTCAGGATGTAGTGAGAGCTGGGAGCAAAGTCTGACACCTCACTGGTGTCCCATGCAGTTGTCAAGACGTCACAACAAAGTGTCAGTAGGATCCAAACACAGTTTGGTCCGAGTCCACCCGGTGTGAGGAAACGGTGCAGCCTGGGCCGTGCTGCTCAGACTGAGCAGGCGCCGTCAGGGCTGTAACTCAGACAGGAAGACAAACCTCATCAGCTGCACCTCAGCTCGTCCCTCAACAAACACCCTCAGAAATATTCAGTGTAAAGACAGAGCCGGACATGACGAGGACAATTTCTACCGTCCTGCCCTTCCGAAAAACGACATTCTGGTAATAAAACCACAGCAGCTGAGAGGACAGAGGGAAAGATAGAGGGGGAGGGGAGCAGCATTGGAATTAGCGGAGTGTAGCTGCTGTGCTGGAGGCGAGGGGACGGGTGGAGGGGGCGTCGCTCCGGCACTCCGACAGGAAGTCATCGATGGAGGGACTCAGTAGGGGTCGACTCTCCTGCTGCTCCCCGACCAGCTGGAGACCAGAGGCCAGAGTCAGAGACTGATGTTGTGAGACCATGAGCACAGGCGATGAAACTGTCACCGTGACAATACACAAAAACTATTTGTACTTCAGTAACGTCAACAAAAACATAGGGTGACTTTCTGTGAATATGACCCTCGGAGCCCCGTAGTTTAGGAAGTCAGGAAGTGAAGCAGCAGCAGAAATGGACAAAGAAAAGGGTCTTTTGAATGGTGAGCTCAGCTTCAAAGCCCTGCCGGCTGGTTCTGTCAGCAAGACTGGAGATGTTTACGTTTACCGTTTGTGAACCGAGTTACCACCGGAGTACATCAAGTCTCAAACACCACTCGCTGGCCAAGCACACAGCTGATGCAGAGCCAAAGGCAGACCATGTGGTTAGTTTGCAGCGGAGATGCCTGGACAACTCTACAAGCAACAAGTGATCAACCGCGACAGCTAAACCGGTGGCTACAGCTCGCAGGCCAATTTAAAACTATGGAGGACGAGGGTCTGCTTGAAATAATTCACATCACATCCAAAGACGGCGCATATGAACTGTCCTCGAGAGCCACTGCTGTAACCAAGATACACAACTTGTATGAAAATGAGAAGCTAAAGTGGAGGAGACGCTGGGACAGACGAACACAGTCAGCTCACCGGAGACCACTGGACTTCTCTCAGTACTCCCAGGGACCTCGGGGCCCCTTTGAGGTGCATCTGGAACCAGTGGTGGAAGAAACACTCAGATCCTTTACTTCAGTAAAAGTAGCAACACAACAGTGTAAAATTATTCTGTTATAAGTAAAAGTCCTGCATTCAAAATGTTACTTGGAAAAAAAAAAGTATTAGCATTAAAATATACTTAAAGTACTAAAAGTAAAAGTACTCATTATGCAGAATGGCACACTTTACCTTCCAGTTTATGATATTATTGTGTTATAATGCATTATTGTGTACGTCACATTTAATGCTGCAGCTGGTGAAGAGGGGCTAGTTTTAACTACTTCATATGCATTTAATTTGAAGTACAGCTTGTGAATGTTCCACCATAGATCATAATTACAATGTATTTTTTGTATTAATCTGGTTATGAAAAGTAACTAGTAACTAAAGTTATAAACTAAGTGTAGTGCAGTAAAAAGTACAATATTTGTCTGTAAAATGTAGAAGTCAAAGTATGAAGTAACAGAAAAGGAAAATACAGATACTTCAAATTTGTACTTAAGTACAGTACTTGAGTAAATGTACTTAGTTATTTTCCACCACTGTTTAGAACAGATTTTAAAAAGTCTGATTAATTGTGAGTTAACTGTGGACAATCGTGCGATTAAATATTTTGATCAACTGACACTAAGTACCTTTATCATTGGTGACGGGTCATAGATCCTACTTTTTATTTCTAAAGCACTGGGTGTGCGTTTCCTAGCAGCGTGCACTCGCCGTCACCGATCAGTCTGTGACTCGTGCTGATGTACTGGAGTGTGAAGCTGTTCCCACCAGATCTCTGCTTTCAAACTGGTGGAGGAAGGTGAACACTGTAATCTGACCGTTACATTAATGAAGCCTGAGCAGAGCGGAACCCTGAAGCTGCATGTCTGAAGCGTCTAGCAAACAAAAAGAGAGAGTCTGAGCAGAGCGACACAAACAACGTGGTCGTGATGCCAACCTTGGTTGTCATGGCGACGCAGGGGTTTCCTTCGTTCGACACCTTTTTACCAGGAAGCTCCTTCAGCAGAATGGCAGCGACCCTGTCCCCTTTCGCCTACAACAGATCGACAGTTCGTTCAGACGCAGCTCACACGTTACAGAACAACTTTGTTTATTTAGACATGTTTATTTCATTTTCTCTGTTTCTTTCTCTGCTTTGGAGGTAATGAAGTCTGGATCTCCTGATGAAAAACTTCTAACGTCCTTCTGAGGAGACAACTGAGAAAACCGCAAGGCAAATGAAGGCTACAAGCTGAGCAGCGAGGCAGCACGTGGCTGCAGCAGCAGGCCACAGACTGAAATCCATCCCAGCACTTAACATCACAACTGAACTGTGGATTGTAAACCATTAATGAGAGACGCAGATGAACCAAGTAAACATGTGCCTACTGCTGCTGGCACACTTCAGTTTGGACTAAAGCACATGCACACACTTTCAGCCTGTTATTTTAGAAACCCCTTAAACGTGGTCAGATTTAGTGTGTTTTAGAGCTAAGTGTTGGTCTGAGGTTTCAAACCTGTGACGTGTTTGAACCAGACAAACATATCCATCAGCACACGCACACAGTGTGTGTGTTCCCTGTGAGGCGGCGAGTGCTCAGCAGCAGGACACGTTACACCACACACTGAGCAGAGACGGTGCGTTGTGGGACAGCAGCTGAGACGCTCCAGCTGTGCTGCCCCAAAGCCGAGTTAATACTCAGCAAATCCTCACACCAACAGGACTGCTATGTCCTCTTATCCTCAGCCAGATATTTCACCTGTGTACAGAGCACACGGCCCGGACGTGGTGGGAAGTGCCAGCAATACAAAAAAGGCGTGAGCAGCTCCGACATGGGACAGCCTGGGATACCAGGCTTAACCAGGAGAAGACTGTCTCCACACCAGTTACATGAACAGTTATGTGACCACACGTCACAGACTTGAGCTGTAGGCGTGACACAGGCAACTCTCTGATTGGACAGCTGAGGTGATGTCACCCTGCAGCTGTCTGGTCACTGACTATCAGCTTTATTAGTCCAGACGGACTGAAGTGATCAGTAACAGCAAACAGGTTGCTACGTCTCCCTCGTTAACCGGGAAGCGATCCGGTCCAACCTGGACACAACTCCTCTCTTCTGTCCACTCGCCCCAACCTGTCGAGGCAGAAGGCCGCCCACCAAGAGCCGGGGTCTGGTGGAGGTTTCTCCCGTAAAGAGACTTTTTCCTCCCCGCTGTCACCAAGTGCTGCTCAAGGGGGGTTTGCTGGGTGTCTGTCTAAGATGAGGTCTGGACCTGACTGTGCAAAGTGCCCTGAGATGGCTGTGGTTGTGAACGAGCGCTGTACAAATAAAAGGAAACTGATCTGCACTCTGTGTTGTAACAGCCAGTCAGTGGTGCTGGCTGTGGGTGGGCTTACTCTACTCAGGGCTGGAATCTGTTTCTACTGTGTTTCTACCGTGTCCCAGACTACCAGCAAAACAAAGCGGCTGTGACGTGGTTATTTTCAGACTCGGCTGCATCAGCTGTGTCTGATGATCACAGCTGGAAACTGATACATCGTTGTCTCCCTGCTTTTCCTAGTGCTCCCTCTCTCCATCTCCTCACTCTGTCACAGTGTCGCCCATCCGGCTGTGGTGTGTGTGTGTGTGTGTGTGTGTGTGTGTGTGTGTGTGTGTGTGTGTCTAGAAGCTGTTGCACTAAAAATAAGCTGCTGTTGTGCTGAGCTAACCATCAGCCAGAGTCCCAGCAGAGCTGAGCTCAGTGCTGCTGCAGCACATCCGCAGGCCCTCAGCTTCCACCGCTGTTATACTGCTGCTCATGCTGCAGATCCACAGTCCGCATCCTCACGTGCACTGGACTACGACTGCCATTCACACTGCCACTGCTTCTACTGTGACTACTGCTCCTGCAGCAGTAGGTCCTCGGTGAGCACCCTCACAGCCACGCTGCAGCCAGGGGCCCATGTGTACAGGGGGCCCCAGACTGACCAGGTTAAATAATTAGCTCATATTTTGGAAATACTGTCGTCACAGTGAGAGATGTGGTTTTCAGATTTCTAAAGCTCACCAACAAACTCGGCTGCAAACTATTTTCTAAACCATCAGTCGTCTCCAGAGCAGAACACAACAACTGAAACATCACTAAAACGTTCAGCTGTGACAGGTTGACCAGCGTCTAAAACCCAGTACCTGCACATATATGCAGATCCGACACTCTACGTATATGACACTTCAGGTGTGAGCAGTAAATACTGATAAATCTGACGCAGATGTGAAGAGCTGCTGGGGAAACTGTGCCAAGGGCGGCAGAGGACTGTCTGAGCCCTGAGACTTCAGATATTTATATCCTCCAATGATCCAGCAGCTCCACTGCTAATTCATCTTGTATGAGCGCGTTTCCCCTGTGGCTCCTGGTGCCTCAGTCAGCCACGCTGTAGTTACAGCACAGGTCAGCTACGGGAGCCTGCAGAGGACACAGCCACCAGCAAACAGCCCGTGGCTGACACTGCGCAGGGGCAATGGTCCGTTCTGGCTCCAGCTCCAACTTGTTCCAATGTCCTGATTAAAGACAAACACCTTTATCATTCACAGTCTCTGAGATCGACTCTTTAGCTCCTCTGTGACCCCACGGGCTTCGTTCTGAACATTCACTGTCAGCTGAGCCAGTACACCAGAGGGCGAGGACACTGCAAGGCTGCGTTCTGGGTTTTGGTGCATCTTGGTTACAATCTGTCTGATCCACTCACACTCAGTATCTGCACACTGTTCTAACCAGTGTGAGGCACATGGAGTGGGCCACGGTGTAACTGGGGCCTATGTGGAGTCATTCCAATGGATTTATGACCTTGTGACGATGAAAGCGCATCTCCTGCACCAACAGCAACATCATCAACTGCACAGTGCTCTGTTTAATGGAGTGAAAACCAGAGGGGTCCCACATGACGCAGAGGTCTGGGTGTGACCCTGGACTCAGCCTGCGCATCAGAGCCTCATCAGGCCATCCCAGGACGGGACCAGAGGTAGAACGAGCTATGGACAAACATGATAGACCGTGTCTCCTGCAGCGACTCTGAGCTGCAGGCCAGAACACCTCATCAAACTTTAACTGGTCTATTATGTAACAGCATCGAGTGGCGTGGAGTGTGAGGACGTGCAACTAATCTCAGCTGGACGTCTCCCTCCAGCTGGTTCCTGGCTCAGAGCTCAGACACTCACACAGATAATTAACTGTACAGGCCTGTGCACACACGCTCAGGTATGGTGACAGCACCTCGGTGCACAGAGGCAGCTGCATAAAGAGATGGTTCCTCCACGCCGGACTGGGAGGCCCGACCACAGGCACGTGCACCAGCTCTGGGATGAACAGGAACACTGAATGTCTGACTGTGGGCCGGAGCTTGGGGTCTCGGTCGTGCTGGAGCAACCTTGCACCATCTCCTCTGCAGGTGCGTGCACTGCGTCTGCTACAGTCAGCACGTCCTCCAGTGAGTCCCTGACTTCAGATGACGTGCGCTACACATAGGTCACTTCACTACCTCCACAGGAAGCTGCTCTCTGATGCATCCAGCTGCTCAATCCTTCCACCCCTCACATTCATACCACCACCAAGGCCAGACGTGCCCCTTCCCCTGCTGAGTGCCACACTACTCTGAAACCCTCCTAAGTGTTAGGACTAATCAGTCTCAGCTGAGAATAGAAAACAATCTGTGACCTCACATGAGCCTGAGTCAGACTCAGCATTTGAGCAGGAGGTAAGCACCTGATGAGGACGTCAGGTGGCTCCGAGTTACTGCTCAGTCCTACTGTAACACGCAGCTTCACTGATGACAGACGCACTCAGCTGATCTGAGACGAGCCAGCGCCTCAGGCCAACTTCACTGCAACACTGAAGCTCACATCGAACACACTCACGCAAGAGGTCAGAGGTCACGATCCAACTCAGGGCCACACAGTCTGAGAAACATTTAGGATTAAAAACTGAAAGCAGATACACCTGAATCTTTGACCTTTGGCCTCTGACAGGGGTCAGTGACAAGTGGCAGGTTTGGTTAAATTCTGCTTCAGCTGAGACTTCTGGATATTTTATGAAGAATTCATCATGTTTCTTGTAAATGCAACTTATTCTTCACTGGACTTGAGAACATGTCAGTGCAATAAACACCGGATTATAAAAACATCCCTTTGTCCTGGCACCTGTCCCTTGTGTTCAGTTGTCTCTTCTGACGCTTTGGCTCTGAAGTGTTTTCTATAGTAGTACTGTGTACTACTATAAGCTACTGTATAGTTTTGTATAGTCGTACTGAAACATGAAAACCAGATGTGCAGCCTGTGCTTCAGCTGTGCAGGACGCCATCACATCAGAGACTGCTCTGTCTGACTGCGCCTCACTATCTCTGTTTCATCTGCACTGTGCTGCAGCAGATCAAAGCGCGGCGTCGCGGCAGCGGCATCCACTCTGACTTCTCTTCAAACATCCAGTCATACAGATTCTGTTGTCTCTGGACTAAATGAGCAGAGCGTGAACCTGAGCGGGGCCCAAACACAGACGGGCTTCTCTGCAGAGCTTCTACATGTACTGTAGCTTGTGAATGAGAGCAAAAAGCTTCCACTTCATCCCAATGCTTCCCCTGCACAGGTTGTCCTGGCTGAAGTCAGCGGGTTAATCCCAGCCCCCTCTGCCTCACAACCAACAAAGGCAGGAGCTGTGCCTCTTCACACAGGAATGTGTTGTGTCCACAGACGAGAATAAACAAGACTTGCTGGTTACCTGAACACCCACCAAGCACCTGCACGAGCATCTTAATTAATCAACTGACGTTGACGGCAGATGTAACGTCTGTTGGACCAGACCGGGAACTCTGGTTCCCACAGCAGCCTCACTCTAACCCTAACGATCAACAGCCTTTAAAAGAACATTCCGGTGTTTTCAAGACCTTCTGCATTTTTAATCGGTTGATCAAATAGCTGCAGATTCCTTTCCTGGTGATCAGTAAATCAGTTAGCTGACGGTTTTGGGTCCAACAGCAAACAGAAGATACCGAGGTCTGTTATCTCAAACAGTCCCTGACACATCAAGTCATTTCTGACCAGGGGACAGTTTGTGTTTTCACTTTGTCGCAGCTGCTCAATGCGACCAGGAAGAGCTGCTGATCATCTCTCTGTCATTCAGCTGGTCTAAAATAAAAATCCTCTGGGAGCCAGGATCAGTCTAACTGCTGGTGTCTGTCAGTGACCTCTGTTTAAAGCCGTTTTCTGAGCCTGGGCTACAGTTTCTACTGGGTGGACAGTTCGTCCCGAGTCTGTCTTTGCCCCCTTCAGAGATGAGGCTCTGCGGGAGCAGACAGAAGTAACGTGGAGCTGAGCTCGTCTGGAAACAATGAGGCAGCAGCAGACTGCGTGACAGGAGCTGCGGGCTGTGAATCTGTTTTACTGCGGCAGCAACAACAGAACCCGCAGCTCGTTTAACTGAGGGTCAGTGAAAACTCACTGCCTGGTCCACACCTGCACAGACTATCCAGCCTTGCTTTACTGCTTTACTCACTTGTTTATCTCTCTGCTGGTCAGACTGACGTCGCCATCTGTCTCTATCCCTGAACCTTTAGCTTAACAATAACTCAGTAAACCTTTGGTTTATAATTATACCAAAAAGTCTCTGGCTGCTTCTCAGATGTGACTATTTGCTGGTGTCCTTGGTCTTCTGTGACATTTTATGAACTAAGTCATTATTTTGATTTGGTTTACTGACAGCCCTTGGACACACTATCTATGAAAAGCAATGTGGCAAATGGTGTCAGGGGCAACACAAGAAGTCCTGAACCTAAAGTTGTCATTGCTGTTTTCCATCAACAGTTTATCAAGACATTCAAGGCATGTAACGTGCATGAAGCTCTACAGCTGAAAGCAGCCTAGTGGTCCGTTAACCAATAAGTGAAAGAAACGGAATCAGCCAGGAACTAGTTCCAGTTTGACCAATGTGACTATTCGCTGGTGTTCTTGGTCTTCTGTGATTATGAAGCGGGCACCATTCAGCCTGGGACACTGTTGTGGACATTTTATGGACCACACAGTCCATCAACTGAGAAAACTATTGTCAAATTAACTGAAAATAAAAATATATATACACATCTTAGACTGCAACCCTACCTGACATTAAATAAATTATAAAAAAATATAGAGGTTATAAACTAGTAAAAACTATCCAAGCCACCCAAAGTAAAACTGCAGGACCATTAGATGATTTTAGTTAAATCATTCAGATCTACTGCTGCAGTGATAAGTGGATTAATGACAATAGGTCAAAGTGTTTATTGTCATGTTTCCCTGTAAAATGAAGTTCTTACTTTGCTGTCCACAATGAATGCCAAAACATACCGTGAAATATAAAGTAGATAAACAGCATGTGAAAGAAATATAATAAAAACCATAATATACCAAGTGAATTTCAAGTGGCCTGAAACTTTTCTTCTGTTTTAGACGTAGACGTCTATAAATTCAATCTCAGTAGTTCTGGTAATTTAGTAGCATGTTTATATAAGAAAATCAACACATTTAAAAAGATATTTTCTTCGACGAGGTGCCTCCCAGATTAATCTACCTTTTCATGAAAATTAGCTTTTCTCCTTCCCAAAACACGGATTAAATAATTCGCTGTTAAAGTGACAAGTGACCCGAAGATGTGTGGTTCGTGGCTGGTGACGTGACACAGGTAAATACTCACCTGGACCTGGTACATGTCTGATTCACCAGCCGTAGCAGTCAGATCAGCGGGACGTAGTTGGAGCTGCAACTGCCAGGAGTGCACCCCAACCAGCCTCTGCTGCAGCGAACCTCTCGGTGTCTATCCGGAGGCTCAAAGCCTGAAACCTCTGGAAAACTGCGCCGGTGTCCCGGTCTGCTCTCTTTCCGACTCCGTGGTTCCGCTCCGCTCTGGTCCCCGGTCTTCTCCGTCCAGTCTGTCCGACGCCGAAGCTCCCAGACGCCGCGGGATCTGGTTTTCATCTCTGTTCTGGGAGGGTGGGAGGAACACAAACCGAGCAGAGCCGAGCCGACCCGAGCTGCTCCGAGGTGAAGCTGTCCGGGCTACACAGAGCGACTTCCTGTCATGGTTTTCACAACATAATCACTGTTGTAACGCCTTGTTTTGAAACGTTCTTCACAAGAGAAAAATTCAAGTCTATAGAAGAGCTGTAGGCCTGCACACGGTCGACTGAATAACAAACACTGATCTGACCAAACATAATAAACCATGAACTGGTAGGTTATGTAATCATGAGAGAGTCAAGTCAAACAGTGAACGGTGAATAAAACCAAATTTTTTAAACTTAAACTTGTCTAATTGTCTAACTTGTTTTTGTGTGTGCACTTATTGGGGAACAACAGCTTATTTATTTCAACCCATACGAAACATTTTAATAAAATGTCAATTTTAAATGCTCTTATTATGAAAGCCAAGCTGCATCACTTCCGGTCATAAATGGCATTTGTTCTGCACTTGACAAATCAAACCTGAGGTGACCTGAGGTGAATGAGACCCGCGGGTTAAATCTTGGTTGTGGCACAAACCAGGCGGCGCAGAAACGGATACTTTCACTAAAACACTGATATGCTGCTTCCTCTCACAGAGATGACACAGAACCACCTAGTGATCCAGATGTTGGTGACAGCTGTTTCCCCACTGTGGCATGTTAGGGTGTTGTCTTTGTGAATTACAGCTGAATAAGGATCCTGGAACTTTATGGAAATGAGAAATAAACAAAACTAACAGTCTACAGTGCACATAAAAAGACAAAAAGTATTCAAATATGAACAACTAAAACATAGGGATGTTTAGGTATCCAGAACATGTTCAGTCCAAAAAGATCTATTTAAGTCTATGTGGGACGTCTTGGACAAAGGACACAGTGAAAGCACCTGAATGTCTGGATTATTCTCATGTGCTGTGCCAAGTTAACATAAGATGTAGCAAGTACAGACCCTGAACTAGTCATGCAGCAGACAGATATAATGTCACTGCTCAGTAATCAGCGTGCTTCTGCATTTAATTAGTGGAACATGGTCAACTCTGTAAAAGAAAGCATCACTGTAATCTGGAGGAGGCTGTTGATTCACTTGTGATCGTATGTGCACAGCTGCATGTACGTTTCGTCCCACATGGCCAGGACTTGTGACTGTAACTATGACATATGCAAGGCAGCCCCGTCCTGATCACTACAGCAGAGCCATATGAAACGTCTATACGGACCACACAGGACTCCAGGTCCTGCTGCTAGAGAGCTCTGTTCTCTGGTCACATAGGAACTTATCTCCAACAGGCTGCCTGGAAATTAAAACCCAGCTCTAAGTCTAGTTTAGTTCAAAGAAAGGGTTCACAGTCTGTGTTGGTGAATCTGGAGCCGGGTGTTAAAATCCCTCAGGGCCGTATCTGCGTTGTGTGTCTCTTGATAACAGAAATATTCTGTCAGGATGAAGGAGTCACTGATGTTTCCGGAGGAAGCGCTTTCACGTAGAAGCAGCTCAGGACTAAACCAGCCAGGAAGTCAGGACGCAGCGTGTTCGTCATACAGATAAGCCGTGAATTTAGAGCAATAGTGGAGCTGATCGGAGGGCAAAGCGGGGATAAACCGTATTTTTGGAAATGAAGTGGAGCTCTGTTCAGTCCGACATCGGTGCTGCCTGTTGGTTTTACCTCACGAAGCTGAAGACAGCTCGTAGGAACCACCGTTTTGACTTGACTGGGGGTGCTGTAACTTTAAGCTAACATGCTGTAGCTCGCCCCAGGACTAGCCGGTATGTCTCCGGGCTGATCCGGCACAGAGCAGCCGGTTCTTATCGATCTGATAAAGGTGAGCTAGAACCCAAATGTGTCTAAACAACCACAAAGGGCCAACCAGGGACGAAGCCGCGTGTGCGGCGGTAATTTGTTGAGCAAAGGGGTCCGAGGCCGAGCGCCAGTCACTGCACACAACTTTAGCTAGCTAGCGTTACACCTCTCGGCTTTGCATCGTTATATAAAACAGAATTTGATAACGCTGGTTAACGTGACGGACCGTGACTGCTTTGAAATTGACTTCTGTTCAAGTCCCCGCAGGGTAGTTACTTTTAATTGGATTCAAACCTTTACAAGAAACAATAACGCTAATGTTAAAATGCGTACAGTGACTCAGGCCGTGCAGCTAGCTAGTTAGCATGACGTAAACACTCCACATTGGCACATCTTATGCTAATGAAAGTCGACTATGTAAAAAGAGCTAGTCATATAACTTGATATGTATAAGAATAAATCTATTACGACATGTAACAGTTTGGTTATTATCCCACCAGGCAGAATGACTGGCTAACATTACTCTGTTGAGGCTGAAAGAATTGTCTTAAGCTCTCAATGATGGCTCGATAAAGATGTTAGTACTATTAATACTTTTCCTAAAAACCAGTAATCAACTAGCAGCACCATTATCTTACTGTAAAATTAGCATATTTTATGATTACTAAAATGTATGGTTTTGTACTGTTAATGTAAAGTACAGTATTTTTATTTTTCATAGCATTTTACAGTTTTAATATTGACTTAAAAGGGTGTGTATATTTAGGAATAGTTACATTATATACAATTAAAGGCGCCTTTGTGAAGAAAAAGACTGTAATAGACCTTAATGGTTGTTTTCTCAAAATCCCAGTCCAAAGCTGGCCACAGAATGCAAACCATAACAAGATGTTCTTTGCGTGTGAAGAACAGAGCTAATACGCACTGGTTTTTCATCATGAATTTACGGTGCAAGAGAATAAAAGTCCACAGCTTCTTATTGCGCTGTTTATTTTACTGCACTATAAAGAAACTGTACATGCTGAACAGTTGCATGCTGAATGAGCGTTAAACTCCTGAGACAGAACCTTCTCTGTAAAATATTTGTAAAGTAAAGTATTTGATGAAGGCAGAGGAATGAGGTAGTGCCTGACTCGTGGCCCACTTGAACCAGTTCTGTCAGTCCAGCCTCGGTAGCCCTCTGACTGTGTGTCTGAGAGATGAAGTCCAAAATAACTTGCATTGCAAGAAAGAATACAAGGTGAGAGAACAGCTGGTGTTTTGACTAATACAGTAGGCTATATGCCAGGAAAGGGCCAGAGGAAGCTCACCATCTTTAAATGTAGTCACACTCAAAGTTCACGAGGCTCCTCAGCAGAGTGGACACATGGACTGGAGAAAAACTGTCACAGCAAGACTGGATGAGCTGTGTGATAGTGCATGTGAGCTGCGCAGTCGATTGACAAAGCTACGTAACCTGCAATGCATGCATGACTAAAAACGTTGCACAACAGAACTTTGCTTAGTAAATCATACAAACTGTAATCCAGTCAAATACACAGACGTCCCACCCTCCTTTGGCAACAGATTAGTTAGCTGTCAATCAAATGCGTTAGGCTGTTGTCAGGTTTCTTTGCATCACTTAGGCTGTTCAGTGATCTTAGCCACTCTTTTGGATAAAGTTGCAATAAAAGTCCTCACCTAAATGATACGATAATTATGAGCTACATTGCCATGGGTTCATTTGAGTTGATTCAGACCCTTTCTTCTATGTAACCAGGGAAGACAAAACAAGAGACACCTCTGAATATAATGTAGTCTGGTACAACACCACTTTTAACTGTGACCTCAGTAATAAACATATAATTAAATGTATACATTTATAACAATTTGCACCAAAACTGAAACATGTTGAGTTACATAAACACGGACGTTAAGGCAGAAGTGTTGCATTGAAGTGTGTACAACTGTACCGGTGTACCTAATAAAGTGGCTGGTGAGTGTATACAGTCAGTCTGTCAGGTGAGTCTCCACCTGTTGTTTAACCCTGCTCTCCGTTTGGCTCTGACAGAAAGACCTCAGCAACCTGGTGAAGATGGAGCTGTGACATCATCTGGTCAGACCACCAGCATAGCGGTGAGTGTCAAGCTCCAATCATGTGTGCTTGATTATGTCAGCATGGGTGGAGCTAGTGTCTGCTGGGAGATGATGTAAACAAAAGGCCGAATTGTAGCGCCCCCGTCAGGCAGTGTGTTCTCAGTACGGGAGCGCCCTGACAAAGACCCCTGAAGCGTTTGTCTGATCCCAGAACAGTGGCCTCTGAGTTCATCTGACAAGCAGCTGGGTCGCTGGCTTGTGTGACACAAGCAGCTTTTCCAGAGCTTTGAAGCAGCTGTTGTTACAAAAATGTGACTAATAAATTGAAGTAATAGTGAGCAGATAATAAATTGTGTTCTTCAGGGGACACTTTTCTCTTTGTGTTAAGTATGAGACTCATTTACTCTGAGGACACCTGAGTTTTGTGTTTACTGATGGAGGCTTGGAAAAACCTGGTAAGGGGACCTTATGGATCCTTAGAATTAATTTGTATCAGAAAGGTGAAACTTCGCTGCTTGTGATGTGCTGCTAACCTACTGTGCTCGTGTCCAGGTGTGTGTTCGTGATGCTGGAAGACTACTTGTCTGCAGGTAAACTCAGCTACCTTTGATTTCACTGAAGGTGATCTGAAAAAAAAATCAACTTGACTTGGAGTTCTAGGTCGAAGACGTTTCACCTCTCATCCAAGAGGCTTCATCAGTTCTGACTGACTCCGGCTCAACACCAGTCAGTCAGAACTGATGAAGCCTCTTGGATGAGAGGTGAAACGTCTTCGACCTAGAAATCGTAAGTCCAGTTGATATTTTCAGTTTTTTTCAGTGTACTATGACCTGGATGACTGAGAATCTGCACAGACACTGAAGGTGATGCTGCACTGAAGTTAAATGAACACTCATTCCCAGTTTACATTGCACTGGTTTGCAGTCTGTAGTGTGTTTAAATTGGGAGTAACGCGTGTTGTGTACGTGCACTGTGTACAGCACACAGCTGTACTGCTTAGTTGAAATCTGTCACTGAACAGTAACAGGTAGTTTCATATTTTCATACATGTCTACCTTAACACAGGGTTTGTTAAGATGTGGCCAAACCAGTGTTAAGTTGTAACATTTTATGTACATTCATGTATAATGTGAAAATGAAGTCACCATTTGTGTTGATGAATGGACCCACTGAGGCCTCAAATAGTCTTACAGCACTAAGACCCAGTGGGACGGTCGTGTGTGTGTGTTCGATGAAGAAACACTGCTCCTGCTTCATCTGGTATTTTTCTGTCTATTTCAACATGAAAGAATTTGGAAAGGACCAACACGTGTGACATCTAATCCTCAGCCATAGTGTTTCCTTTGTTTCAAAGTAAGATGCGTAAATGTGATATTAAGTCAAATGTAACTGCAGCCTGTACACACACTGAATGAAACCATTTTCCTCAGGCTCTGTACTGTCACTGAATCAAACTCAATGTAATTAAAGGTAGATTTAAAAAGTATTAATTATGAGTCCTGCCAGCTGGTCAGAAATGTAACTGATGTATTTCTCAGTGTAGTGGTTATCGCCTGCTGTAAATATTTCATCATACTGATTCAAGATGAACCTGTCCTGCATTGTTTCAGGTTCCTTTGAATGTCTTTTAGAAAGAAAAAAAAATCAGGACGTTGAGAAGTTGGACCCATTTCGGACGACTGACAAAATCAACAGCTTCTCTGCTTTGGCTGAACAAAGATCAGTCACATCTAGCCTGTCACCTGTTTGAGCTTCTGCCCTCGAGTAGGAGATTCAGGTCTATCCGAGGCCAGACAACCAGACTCCCACCCCCAAGCAGTAATACTGCTGAATGGACTCGCTCCAGCTAAACTAGTGGTCCCCATTAGGACATGAGTGTTGCCCATGTTGTTGGGGTTGTGTTGAAGGGTCCTCTACCATACTCACTTGTGCATGTGTATATCCTGTGTGGGTAAAATAAAATGACTTTTATTTGAGTGTGTTTTGCTATTTAAAACAAATTGACATAACTTTTACCTACTATATACTTTAAACTGTGGCTCAAATGCCTATTTTTGTTGTGCTTGTCCACAGTGACAGTAAAGGTGCTGGTAAGAGCAGAGATCTGTTCTCTCTTCCAGCAGTGTGGGTCAGGACGTCTGCTGATGAATGTGAAGGTTGTACATGGTGATCGGCTGGATGTGAGCTGAACGGGCTCTCCAGAGATAAACTCCAGAAGACATTTCTGACTTAAATGGGTTCTAAAAACCTCATTAGAATAAAGACTATCATAAAATCTTATTTTTGTTCAGTCATTGTGCCAGCATTTGTAAAGCGGTGTGCATACCTGAACAGAGACTGCCATTTCTTCAGCCAAAAACTCCCACATGTGAGACAAAGATGTATTTGGGAATCGTAGACTAGATAATGAACTAATATAGAACGAGTATATGAAATTAAATTTTTAGGTGTCATAGTTGATGACAAATTCTCCTGGAAATCTCATATCAGATATGCTCAGCACAAAATAGCAAAAAATATATCGATATTGGCAAGGGTTAGATATATTTTGGACGGGAAAGCATTAAGCATTTTGTATTCTTCACTGATTTTACCATACTTAGAGTATGGCGTTGAAAACTGGGGAAATACA